ACACACGGGCACCGGTCGTCGTGCGGGCAAGACCGACGTCAAGGATCGCCTTGAAAGGGAAGCGCGTCTCGTCGTCGCCCTGATCGTCGGATTTCGTGCGCACGGCCGAGTAGGACCCGTCCGTCTCCTTCACGCCCTCAAACTTGCCCGCAAGGCCTAGCTTCGTCAGCATGCGCCGCGCAACCAGCAGGCCAGTCGCGTACGCCGCCGCGTAGTTCGTCAGGCCGTGCTCGATCCCGAACTGCGGGAGCTCGTGCGAGTACGCCGCCATCACAACCTCGTCGCCCACAACCTTTGCGAGCACAATCTGCGCAATGATGTCGCGGTTCGTGATGCGCACCACCAGGCGGTACTTAGGCGTCCCAAACTTGGTCTTGTCCTGTAGCACCATCTGGCGCCGCGCCTGGTAGTCCGTCTTGCCCTCGCGGCGACGGCGGTACTTCACCTGAAAGCGCTTGAAGTACGCCTTGTTCTTCACAACCTTCACGAATGGCATGCTGTCAAAGAAAGTTCCTGGAGAGGCGCAAAGAACAAAGTTGAGGAAGCATGACATCAAGGAAAAATATATATATTAGAATAAAACAAATTTTAAAAAATGATCTAAACGACGTGTAAGCATAAGATGATGCGCTGCGGGAAAGGAGAAAGGGGCAAAAAGGACGCGGGATAAGTTCAGGGCACTATATTTAGTAAAAAAAAAAAAAGCTAAGTTACATTTCGGCGGATTGGGGTAGCAGTTGTTTCCTGAAGACGGAGAAGTCGCCCGTTCAAGCGGCGCACCTCCCGCTCTAGCCCAAGGATTTGATGCGTCTTGGCATCCAGATTGCGGGTCTGTTCTCTCAGGGAAATTTGTAGTTGATTTACCTCATCCACCGACTTGTGCCAAAGATCCTCAATGTTTCTGACGTACTCAGCCGCCTCCAGGAAAAGGCCTTCAAACGTCAAGTGTGTCCGCGGTATGCCTTTGGAGTCCCCAATGATGCTCACCTTGTTGGTGGAGGCTCGAAGCACGGCCAGCCTCTTCGGCATGGATTGCAGCGCGTCCAAAGAGGGCGCAGTCACGGCAGCGGTCACAGCTGCCTTTGGTTGTGTGGAGTCTCGAGGCGGCCTGGGGAGGGGCGGAAGGCAGGTGCACTGACGCAGTGTTCCCACAGCTGGACTCCACGGCACCGTCACAAAAACGTCCCGCGAGTACCGTGAAAAGATGCCCTCGCAAAGACTGGCAAGGGCCCAGACCTGGTACTCGTCGAACGAGGTAAAAGGCGGCGGCACCCCGGTCACCTTATCGGCCACGAAGACACATCCGTAGTTACCGATGGGCACAATGATGCCGTTTTGAACCGGCAAAGGGCGACGCACATTTCTTTCAATGTGGTGGGGGAAGTCATTGTCGTTGTTGTTGGGGGGCATACCGGTGTTGTTGAAGTTTATGGCCATACCACACCGCACAGCGGTAACAATCATGCTACTGCTGGCGTAGCTGACCTCGAGGGGCAGCCTGCCGTCTGCGTGGATCTGCGCCACGCGGCTGAGTACGTGGGAATTCTCAGGAAGGTTTTCAAGGTACACCGCCGCGCGAGTGGCATGGACGCGTGTAAGAAGCGCCTCCAGCATCAGGAACAAGCACGTCTGCAACGATGAAGCCGCCACACGCATCTGAGACCGCTGACTATGCAACGACTTGGTGGTTTGCAAAACGCCACCCCCCGACGGCTCAGAGGTATCATCGTTGCAAGAGAAGGCCGTGGGGCGTGCCGCACACACCTCCTCATGACTCATCAGTTTAAAGCCCTCTGGCACCACGCTGCGTGCGCGCAACATCGCGACGACAGACAAGGTCTCCTTCTCTCTCATGTAGTTAAAAAACTCAGCCATTTGAGTCTCAATAGCGGTGGCAAGCCCCTCAGCAGCGGCGGCCAGCTTCGTCCCGACACCACGTAGAACAATCGCAGTCTCTTCTGATGACTCCTGCGACAGCGTAATGGCACCGTCGCCAGGGCTAACGGATGCATGCGGAGAAAGCATCACGTCTTCCAGTGCCTTCGCGATACGCCGAATTGTGGCAAGTTCCTTGACTGCTTCTGGGCCAAGTATGCCTGTCATCTTCAGTTGTGCCGGTTCCACTCACAGACAAAGGCGAAGATAACGGTCCTGAGCGCAAATGCATGCAACCAGGTGAAGTGGCTCCGCGTTAAGCCAATGTGTACTGTGGTGTCAGCAGGCACGTGTCCACGAACCTGTTAGCTGGCAGCAACGCAGCACAAAGAAAAAAAGAAAAAAGAAAAAAAATGTATAGAGAGCTATTATACAAAAAAAAAGAGAATCCCTGCCGTGAGAGGCAGCGCACGCACGACAAATCAAACGTAGATGCAAAAGGCAGACGAGAAACGTGGGCACCACCGCCACCACCACAGGCGGCCTGCAAAGAAGCAGCAGCAGAAGCGGCAAACACAAGTATGACGTTCTCCTTCCTTTGTTGTTACCTCCTTTTGCTTTTTTTTTCTCATCTGCAGCTTCTTAGGTATCGCTGTTTCAATGCTCACCGAACCAAGAAGGTAACGTGGAAAAAGGAGCAGCCACCGCCGCGATTGGTGTTGCCTCTACTGAACGGGTTGCCCGCACTCACAGGTTCCACCCACCCATGCACTCCACCACACTTTGTCCTCGTTACGCGCGCAACTTCGCTTCATCGTGTCTCAATCAATCAGACGCTTCTTACGGAAGTACGACTTCAGGTGACGCAGCTCCCACAAGGAGAAGAGAACAAAAATAAGGATGATGATGCCGGTGAACCACGCCACCTTGAGCGTCATTGCCTCGTTTGCGTTGCGCATCTCTGCCTCCTTTTCCTTGTAGTACAGATATTCGGAGTGAATGGAGCGCACTGCGTCCTCCAGCACACGCAGCTCGACCTCAATGGGCCGGAGTTTCTCCTTGGTGGCCAACTTCGAGTAATCGTTGCTTTCGCTTCCCGTACGAATATCCACGCTAATGCTGCGCTTCATTCCCTCGGTGTACCTTACCCCGTGCGCCAGCCGGGAGTAAAAGCATACTGTGAAGTCCCCTCCCCCTGCGATTAGTTCATGAAAGTTGCCACGATCCTGTGCGGTAGCCGTGTAGTACACATGGTCCCCTGGCCCCGTCACGACGACGTCCAGAAATTGTGCGTACCCTGGCAGCGCTGCAAAAGAAATGCGCAGCTCCGTGCTGCTTGGCACCTCCTCCACGAAACACCGGCGCTTCGTGGCCGCCAGGTCGAAGGCGAAAGCGTGGACGTGCAGCGCACAACCCCAGAGTGTCAGGGCGACACCCAGGAGAACAATCTGCATGTTGTGGCGCATTCGCTTTTATTTTATTTTTTCTTTTTCTTTTTGTGTGTGTGTGTGTCTTTATTGTTGTTGTTTTGCCTATCTCTCACCTACCTGCTTCTTCGGGCTATTTCCGTCCGTTGCTGCTTCCTTTTACTTGCCCCGTCACCGCTGCGGGGCGCCCGGCAAATCACACAGCGGAGAGACCAAAAAGATAAAGAGGAGAGTAGGGAGGGAGCCACAACAATAGCGGCGAGAAGGCAAGCCGGCAACAGGCAGAGCACAGCTGCCTGCGCCGAGGCAACAACGCCGAAGAAGCGGGAAAAGAGGCAGCAAACAAACAAATGTGGACTTTGTTTTCTTTGCTTCTATGTTCAGCGGCAGGCGATGCGATGGAAAGGGAAAAAAAAAGGGAGAAGGAGGGCACTGACCCGCCGCAACAACTACCCACGCCGCCGCCGCCGCCGCGCACTCGCCTCACAAAGCACCGTTGGGCGAAACTGATTCCAGGCAGCCTGCCACGGGCGTCGTTGCAGCGTCCATGAGCATCTGCCGCGTCGGCGAGTTACGGCCCACGTGGGTGCTTGGCCAACGGTACAAGAGGAGTTGCTCCATGCTTTCCGTTTCACCTCTCAGACTGGCGAGGGTCACCTTTAGGTTGTGCTGCTCCTTGAACCAAAGGAAGACGCCGCCATTGATCGCGCTGCGGCAACAGACGAATCCTCTTCGATATACCTCCGTGCTGCGCCGCAGTGACCCGTGCAGAAAGACGCAGAGCAGCATGAGGTAGACGATCCACACCACGGAGGTCATGACGGCCATAAAAATGGTGCGGCCGCGCAGATTTCATTGCTGAACCGGGATGTCGACCAGCATAAAGAGGGCCACCGACACGAGGCACACAGCGAGCCATCCACGAAAGTGTTTCATTTTCCGCCAAAGCGGTGGGACACGTCGGCGAGCTGCAGAAGGGGTAAAGTGCGAGGCACGAGGCTAAAGAACCAAAAACAACGGGGGTGAAATGGGAGGCGGGTGGAAGCCAAGATGTCCCCCTCGAGCGCCGCCGCTCGTGAGTGCAGCGACGCAGGCCCGGAGGCAAGCACAGAACGGGAGGCACTTCACACATAAAGCTGGCCAACGTAGCAACAGTCGGTGCAGCCTCTTTTTAAAAGCGGTACATATGTGAGTTGCAAAACGTTCTGTACACGTGTTACTTACGGAGGGGCTGCCCCGTTTGAGACCCGCCTCCCACACCCCTCCCCAACGGCGCAAGGAATCCGCAGCGAGGTAAGCCTAACGAGGGGCAGCGGTAGGTGATGTGGGAGTGCAGCTGAAAGCATTTTCTTCTCTTTCCCACGGCTCACGCACAGGCCATACACATGTCACATACCACAGCGAGGCCGAGGGAAACGCAAAAAATTAAAGTGTTCCAATGAAAAAGAGTGTTAGGTAAACAACTCATCGTCTACATTTTCCCAAAAACGTTGTTAACCGAAAAAAAAAAAAACGAGAAAAGGAGGAGCAATACCAAAAAAAAAAGGTATAAAGTCATGAGGAACATTACAAATACACACACACAAACACACAAAGGAATCAAGGAGAAGTAGCACTTTGGTGGAACAACTGCGCATTTGCCCACCCCAACAAAGAAAAAAAAAACACTGAAAAAAGCAAGTAATACATAAAAAAAATAAATATGTATCTGTTTTTTTTTTTTTAATTTATTCCACATATATATTATATATACACATAATATATATATATATATGTATTGGCGCGCTTCATCCCATTCAGCGAAAATAGTTTAGCCGGGCGAAATGTAGACATCAACAAAGAATCAGCTGTGTTAGCTCACAGCACATATGTATATATGCATGTATATTATATACATATATATACCAACACGGTGGGTCTACATGGAGTGTTTCACAAAATACTCTGAAGCCAAAACAAAACCACGATCATTAAGGGGGGCATCCGGGCCCACGAGAAGCTGGCCATTAAAAAAGCGTCGGTAAACTTCCCATGCCTCTGCCCCCGTTGTCACAAGCCACGGTATAGAGCAAATCCACTCTGATCCCTTGATCGTTCCGGCTCTCAGGTTTTCCCGATAGCGTCCGGTAATCTTATTCGTGTATTCATTCAACGTTCCAAAGAGAAGGATGGGGTTCGGGGGGACGGACCCAACCTTCCGACGAACCTCCTCAAGGGCGTACTCGAAATCTGTGCCAATGCCTCCAGTCAAAAATATAGGGAAGTCCAAGTTAAAGTCTGATTGACGCTCCACCAGCTTGTTCGAACGGTACGTCATGAAGGCGTCAACGTACGGGTTCCGCTTCTGCTCGTTAATTGTCGCCCCGGGCCTGTGAGATAGGGCGCCAAAGTCAACAAACAGGCCGCAAGACAAGATGCCAAGCGACTTGGCGACCCGATTGCCCACCTCCATCGCGCCAGGACCACCACCCGTGACAAGCGCAAGCGTCTTATTCGGGTTTAGAAGGGGATGGTTGCAGTAGTGCCTTAGCTGCAAAATGCCGTTCAGGAGGAACCCCAGCTCGGCCTCAAAGTCGCCCGCCACTAAATTGGAGCCGTAAACACCAAAAAAGGTAGCAAGCAGATACTCCTGTCGTCTCTCCACTGGCACAAAGACGCCAGAATCGCGGTCCTGGCGCCGGATAAATTGATAAATGCCATCATGCGCCTCATCCACGTAGAAGACGGCGATTCCAAAAGTGTTGAGGTCACAAAGAAGGCCACTGTCCTCTTGGCTAAAGAACTCTCCGTGATGCCGTGAAGCCTTTGTAAAAAAGATTGCCCGCACTTTCCTTCCGACAGTGCAAGACAAAATCAAGGACTTTAAACACGGAGATGGGAAATAGCGGGTCAAGAGGACGCCATCGCTTGTAATATCCCCTGCTGCAATGGCAGAAAGAATGCTGTATTCGCATTCCTGATATACTGCTTGCTGCGCAAGCTCCTGCTGGCGGCCGGGGTCGTCGTAGCCAACGTACGGTAGCAACTTGGGGTCGGCTGTGACCCAGTCCTCAGAGGTCAACTCATTAAATTGACCCCCTTTACAGATGTACGTGCAACAGCACTCATTTCCCCCGGGTGCCGTTTTAAAGACGGAAAGAATATCCGCTTTACATGCGCACCGGAATGAAAGCGTTTTGCGCAGCGAAAAAGGTACATGCTCGCGGTACGACTCCAGGGTGTAAAATTCAATGGGAACATGCGTAAGTTCCACAGTAGAATCCCCGTGGAAGACGAACGTGCGTTCCCGTAACTTGTGGCTGGAGGTCGAGTCAGGCTCAATGACGCGTGAACTCATCGACTTCAGGCCAGGAGGAAGAAATTCATCCACCACACGGCCAAATAACGTCCGAAGATGCAGCGCAAATCCACGCACAAGTAGAATTCCCCCTGACGTCGCCACGCGTGTGTGGTTCGGGCGAAACTCCTGGTGAAGGCGCAGCAATTCTTTATACCGCGTCCGCGTATTTAATGCGGTTCCAATGGTCGGAAGAAGACCATGCACCTCGCCGTTATAGGCAAAGGTGCCCTCAAGAATGGGTAGAAACGCGACCACCCGGCCATCCATGACTTTTAGCTCCCAATTTGGCTCAGCGGAATCACCGTAATTGAGGAGAAGGTTACCCGCCTGGTCCACGGCGCTCAAGAGGCGGTTGATGTAGCTTACGTTCCGCACCCTCCGAACTTGCTCCACCGCGAAAAGTTTTCCAATATATGCGCCCTTAGCGACGTAATCTAGCATGAGCACGGCAAGGGGTGACAAGGCGACCAAATCCATACGAATCTCGGCCCGCAACGCATGCCGGTCGAGCGCAACTTCAATGTTCTCGGCGTTGACGCCCATCTGTGTTAGTGAAGATTTGAGAACAAACTCCGACGCCACATTATCAACAAATCCACGAAACTTTTTATGTATCCGCTCTCGGACAGCGAGCACCCTGGCCGTGTGGCGGCACGTTCGCTCCAACGATATGATGCACGCGTCCTCGGTAACCAAGTCAAACGGATTAGAAAGCCTGCCCGCGAGTGGAGCTGTAGCTTGTGCTCTCTTGATCACGTTTAAGAACAAAGTCTGGGAGCCAACGGGAGGACATTACTAATGCGCTTGTTGCGATTTAATTCTGCGATGTCTGTTTTCTGAATTTATTTGTAATATTTTATTTGTTATTATTATTATTTTTTGGGTTGAAGAAAAACTGGTGTTAAAATAAAAAAAAAAGGAGCGGCAACGGTGATGGCAGTGCATTGCCGCACCATAACATGAGTGACACTTCTCTTGACCGAGACATTAAGCGACAGACTCGGAAGGATGATGGGGTGCGAGCTCTTCCTCCTCCGCCTCCCCACACACAGACACACACACACACACCAGCCTTCCGTCTTCCGTTTACCGCCTGCGACGGGCGTTCTTCCCAGGGCGTTTTTTCGCACCGCCACCGCCTCCAGGGCGCAAGCCCTTCTGCTTTGGCGTTCTTGCCCGCTGAGCAGCACCTCCACTTCCGCCGCCGCCGGTGGCATCACCGTCGTCCAGGATATCGCGCAGCTCTTCGTTACCCTTCCGCTTGCGCCGCCACTCCGTGAGGCGTTCTCCCATATCCCGCTTATATTTGGCCCGCTGGCGCAGCACCTCCGCCTGGACCTCCTTACCGTACTTCTTCTGGTCCTTCATGGCACGCCGGTGGGCCTGGGCCTCAATGCGGGTCTTGAAAGTTTCAATTGCCGCCGCAATACGACTCATCTGCACGTCGTCCTTAAACATCTCCGCGTAGTAGTCAGCGGGACGCTTCCACGGCACATCAGCCTTTTCCAGGAGGGAAAGGCCACGTGAAACGGACAACAGGGCCTGCTGGATAAAGACCTCCTCCCGCTTCGGATCATCGTCGGCGTTGAGGTCCGCTGGCAACGACTTTGTCGATGTCAATGCCATCCGCTCCACCCACTGCGCCGGCTCACTGAACTCAACCGCCGCAGGTTTTTCATCTTCCGTATTAGTTTGATTTTTATTATTAAAGACTACTTTAGCTTTACTCTTTGCTTCAGTTTTCGCAGCTACCCCCTTTGGTGTGATGTTTGGCTTGACGACCGCAGGACGCTTCTTCCTGGCAGCCACGTCGTACACAGGCATTGTTCTCCAATACAATTCCACAAAAACAGCAGTAGCAGCACCGAAGCAAGCACGTGGGTGAGGCAGCAAGCAATGGAGAGAAACCATCAGAAGGGTCTCCACGGTGCAGCAATCCTTGGCACCGCCTCGGTTTCCCACGCAGAGTCACACACAATCCCATTGCCACCAATGCGCAGGTGCCTTCCACAGTTATCTTGGCAGGAGGCGAGAGCCGTGAGAAAGACACAGTAGAGCAAAAACAAAAATAAAACAACAAACAAAACAACAAGATACATTGAAGGGCCGTAAGGCAGCCCGCCTTTACATTCTTGTGTGGAAGCTGCAGTGCGCTACCCACCCACGCCAGACATGCCGTTTCCCCTCAAGTACGCCTCATACGTGGACAGCATCACCTGCTTCCGCGCAGCCAACTGTGCAATGAGGTGCTGGAGGTCGCTAATCATAGTGTCCTTCTCCAAGGAGAGGTCATGTACTCTATGTTCGATTTCGCTTATGCCTTCAGGGTCTATGTTAGCTCTTTTAAGTAACTCTGCGAGACGAGCATCGCGTCCCTCCAGCTGTGACTCCACAAGTTCTAATTTATTTTGAATAAGCACCCGCCGAAAGATCGCCTTTTGCTGAATTTCCTGTAACATATTGTTATACTTGTTAAGAATGATATCTCGATCTTCTTCTAGCTTAACGAAGCGCTGCGAAAGGACCTCATGCTCCCATGAAAGTGTGCGCAGCTCCTGCTCGCGTTCTCGCACTTCCGTCTTCATTTCCCGAAGCTTATCCCTGTCGCTGGCGTAGTTGATAAGGTCCTGCTCCAACTCCCGCTTCTGTCGCTGCAGCTTCGCCAACGGTTCCGTAAGTTTTTTGTTCCGCTGTGCTACATCCATCATCGCCCGCTCGTTGTGCGCCTCCGTGCGCTTCCTGGCATACACCTCATCCTTGAGGGTGCGAATGGTTTCTAGGTTGTTTGACGTAATCTCACTGTAATACTCCTTCATTTCCCTAAAGGTACGCTCGTGCATCTCGCGAAGTTCGGCAATGTGGTCACTCTTACGCCTTTCTATTAGGTCAATCTCCTCGTGACGCTGTTGATCCATATTTTCCCTTAAATCCCTCATTTTCCTTTCGTACATGAGATGCATCTCCTTGTTTTTGCGCTCAAAGTCAAGCCTCTGGTCTGCAATCTCCTTATCGTGGGAGAGTGTAAGGGCCGAGGCCATATCACGATGCTCATTTTCCTGCGCCTGCAGCATCAACTTGGCATCCCGCATCTCCCTCCCAGCGTTTCTTTCCTTCTGACGATACTCCTCCTCCCGTATCGCCAACGTCCGCTCCGCCTCGCTGGTCATCTCGGAAAGTTGAAGCTGATGCTCGTACATCATGTGTCTTATTTTTTGCTTGAACACTTTTGTTTCTACGTCTTGCCGCTCCTCGGCTTCGGCCTTTTCGTCCTCGCGCTGCCGCAGCTCCGTCTTGAGCTCCTCCAGCTCCTTCTTGCTCACCTCCCAAAAAGAAATAATCCTATCCCGCTCCAACTGAAAGTAGTTGCGCATCGCCTTTGTCTTTTGAAGGGCGTCGGTCGCAATCCATAAATCCCGGCCGTCCGGTATCGGCGGGGGAGGGACATCTGGCACGGCGACGACCGGTTTCTTCTTCTTTGCATTTTCGGCAGCCCCTGCTGCCCTTGGCCGCACGCCGGCTGCCCTTCCCTTTGGCGGCATCGACCCCTTGGCTCTGCACACGCACGCACAAACGGTGAGTGCCGGAAGCAAGTGAGAAGAAAGAATTAGGAGAAAGGCACCAAAAACAAAAACAAAAATGGTCACAGGTGCACTAAACAGGAACAAGAGTCATCCATAGCAAGGTCCGAGAGTGAAAGAAGAGAGGTCAAGAAAAAAAAAAAAAAAGCGGTGGTGAAAGCGAATTGCGTAAAGCAGCGTCGCTAGGGTGAAGGTTCTCACTTTACACAATAGTTACACGAATGGATGCCTGCACAAGCGTTACTGCCTGAAAATCACGTGCATGTGCGGTGGCCACTCAAGAAGCGTTGCCTGCGTTAGAGTCCGGCAGCAGCTGAGGGAAAGCCACAAGTTCGTCCCAGCAGCTGCTAGGAAGAATATAACCGTCAAAGTGTCGCGTCGTGTACTGCATCGTGGCATTGTGACTATAGCGCTGCTGCACCGCAATGTACTGGTTGATGTAATAAAAGAGCAAATCGTCCACCTCCCCCCGGTACAACGGCGGTGTCGAGTCCTCTGCGCTGCGCTGTCTCTTGTTCACAATAAACTCCCGCAGAAAGTAGTAGATGGCCTCCACCGTCGCCAAGTAGGTAGGATCATTATTCTGAAATCGCCAAAAGAGCGAGGTCTGGGATTTGATGCGAACATGTTTAAACCTGCATAAGCGCTCGTCACGCGCAATGGCCTTGCTCTGCTGCCAAGTACTGTCAATAAAAACAACGCTCTTCACAGCATCCAAGTCCGTGAGGTCGCCCAGCTCCGTGCTCTGGCTGCT